GGGCCGGGCTGAGCCCCCGGCCGTTGGCAGGGCCGAGCGCCGCGCTGGGCCCCGGCCGCGACCTTTAAGGCAGAAGGGCCCGTCGCTCCGGTCCCGGATCCCGCAGCCCGTTGGGTATGTGTGGTTTTTTTTGGGGGGGGGGGGTGCTTTCACGGCCCCCAGAGGAGCCCCTTCGCCTCCCTGACAGAGGAGCAGAAGCGTGCAGGGGTGCCGGGCCCTCAGCCCTCCGGCTCGGCTCCCTGAAGAGGGTCCCGCCGCCTCCTTTCACTCTCCTGCCCCGGGCTGCTGCTGGTTCTCTGGGAATTGACTATTGAGCCGGTTTGGACTGTTCCAGATGAATAGCGCTGCAAGGGTCCCCTCCCTGGGGAGGCTCAGCCTCAGCCGAAGGAGGACGTGCTTGAACCCTGGAAGCTAGCAAAATGCTAGAGCTAGTGGAAGCGGGACATCACCTATTTGTGAGGGGGATGCAGGGGTGCAGAGCTCAGAGGAGGCTTATCTGTGGTCTCACCCTGGTGACCTCTCAGGACAGGGTCCTATCCTGCCTGGGGAGGGTGAACAGGTCAAGCCTGCCCAGACTTGTCCATCGGAGCGGAATCTGCCCCCAGCCCCTGGAAGCTCGGCTTGGCCCATTGGGAGGGAAGGGCTAGCTCCTCTGGTAACCTGAGTGATTTTTAAATGCATGCGCTGCCGAGGGGCCTGAATACAATGGTTTGACCGTGCAGCTCTTATTCCCAGAGCGGACTCATAGCTGTGCCACATCTATTTTTGTGGATCCCCAAGGAATGTTCCTCCAGCCATTTCTAGCAAATTAGTCACAGTGACAGCCGAGGAGTGCTCTGGGAACTGTGTACTTAGCAGAAACACTCAGCTGTTCAGACTTGTCCAACTGTACAAGATGACTGTTGCCTATTTACATATTGCATTTTCCTAGTAAATTGTTATTTTTTTGCCTAAGGCAAAGCATAGTACTTGGAAATCCTTGGCTGGGGAGATGATTAAGCAGGGACGTGATTGGCAAATAGACTGACTTTTTTTTCCTTTCTACTTCTGTGAAATCTTTTCCACTGCTCTTTTTACCCACCGGTAAATGTCTTTCCCTGCACTATGACTTATGCTTAATAATGCCTCCTGTGTGCAGCCTGCCCTGCTTTTTGACAGTGTACACTCTGCTTATTGAAGTTACTCCTCAAAGCCCAGCAATACACACAGTGTGTGTATATATATATCCTTGGGGGACATCGAGAACTAATTGCACCAGATGCAACTGATGTTAAACAGCACCGTAAGTCAAGTCAACATCACAGGAATGATAAAGATAGGCCACCTAATACCACTAGGCAGAAAGGCCAGCTCTGCTTGCTGGAAGAGAGGCATAAGCTTAAACTCTGCTAAACGGCAAATACAAATATTGGTCTGTATTTTAATACAATAAGCAGTCGGTCCCAATGAAGCAACCTGGAGTTAGTGTTCATACCGAGGCTTTTATCAGTTTGCAGCTCAGTGGTGGAGTCTCAGCACAGGTCTTTTATGTATGTATGTAAAGACCTTGTACGAGCCAAAGCAAATAAGGTGCCATCTCTGGGCTGCGGTACAGTCTGTGTAACAGACACTGACCTACTGTTCAACCTGCTGTGATGACATGTTAGTCCCATCAGGGTGCTAATATGTTCTGTATTCCTGCTAGGACTGCTGCACAATGAAAGCAGGCTGAAATCTGATTCAGGCTGCCCTCACCCGCTGCTTACTTCTCATATTGTTTCTCAGTTGCCCACTACCTTGGATAATAAACACAGACAGCAGAACAACCAGACAGCTAGGTCTGAGAATTGACTGATCATTAGTTGTAAGCATTATTGACTTGCAACTTTCTGCTGCGTTTTTCCAAGGACCACCTGAACTCTACAGATCTCACCAGAGCTGGGTGTGTGATGACCACTGGCCTTTGGAGCCCTTCTAAAAGCACAGGACCAAGCAGCTTCCCAGAGCAGCGCCTTGCATTATAGTAGATTTACACAAATTTGCTTCACTGTTTTTATGATATAAATCATGGGTGTAAGGCACCTTGTCCTTATACTTTGTCTGCTGGCAAGCGGGGCTTGTTTTTTGGGGATTTTTTTTTTATATTAAAATTCAATTATTAGGCTTAACTTGCACTTTCTGTCTGGCTCATATTCTTAAGAAGCACTTTCTTCCTACCTCTCCTGACAATGCTGCCTGGTTCTGCTGTGCATGTGGAACCTCTTACCCAGCTAAGCTGGAGGCCACCATCACTGCAGGTAGGCAGAGATATTTCCCAGTGAGATGGAAGACACGGGCTTGAATCCCTTCAGACCGCAGATGGATGTCAGCCTTAGTCTCTGATGAAGCTACTTACGCCAGAAATTTAAAAAGGACTTCTCAAAGAAGAAACAAGGTAGAAGCTAGGGTGGTAATGTTTGCTCTGCCTGATTTGTCTCATTATGTGAAATCAATATTGGGAAAGTAGCCTGTAATTTGTAATGCAGCAACCTTCCTTTCTCCCACCTCTTCCCAAAGCCAACTGCAAATAAATGTGATAGTCCAAAGGCTGGTTTTATTTCTTAGAGACTATTTCCTGCTGCACGTTTGTCCAGTAAAGCAGACATTGCCACTACCTCCTGAATGGGGGCAAATAGTTCTTGGGAATGTAGATCACTGTCCCTTAGTTAACGGCCCTTACTTTTTTTTTTTTTAACAAAGGTATTTTTGTACGAGATCTCCTGCTGATCATGCTGATTTGATCAGGATTTGCACCCTATATGTCATGTTTCCTAGAGAGCACGTAAAACAAGCAAAGCAAACAAACTCCTCGCACCTTTTCTTACGTAGGTGTTCCTGGACTTCTGTACAATTCCCTAGCGTTTAACTGCTGACTGGCAAGTCCAGTGCCTGCAGCAGGAAACTGAAGACCTGATTAGATAGTCAGCTGTTAATGCCTCCAAACTCCAAGGGACTGTGGAGTTTAAACTCTTACGGGATAGTGTCTTCCTCCTGCATTTTCCTGACAGAGGTAGGTTGACATGCAGAGCCAGGAGTAGCACAGAGCCAGTCGTAATGCAGGGTAGAGGTGTTTGAGCTTCCCTGCCCCTAGCGAATGTCCACCATGGCAGAGTGAATTATTTCATGAGTCTACTGTTGTATTGCTGGCATTCATGTTTTTCCCATCCCAGCAAAAACTCTGGAAACATCCTCAACTGCGTGTCTGCTGGGGGATCAGCTCTGTTGACAGCATTTACTTTCTTTGTAAATGCTTAATTCCCTCTGCTCTTCAGAGACAAACAAACAGGGAAAAGATTTTGCTCTGTGTGTCTGTAAACCAGCTGGGTTCTCTTTGATTAATTAGCCACTGCAGTGGTCTTTGTGGGCACAAGGCTTTTCAGTTGCTTTCCATCATGACTCCATCCTAGCTAGTCAGCCACATTTACAAACTGCAGGAAGATTACTTTGTTTTGGTGTTGCCTGTGGGAACAGGAGTAGGAATAGCAACTGTCTGCCCTCATGAGGATGCTCTGCATGCAAACTCAACTTTTCCAGACCTTGCTTCCTTGTCAAATATTAAGTATTTTTTAGGTACTCAGTTGTCTTCACCCTAACTTCTGTCTCCCCTGCCCCCTGTCTCTAAAGCCACAGGACACACTGTTCTCAAGTCAAGTCAGCTGTTCCTGGTTATCTGCAATAGTGTTTTCAATACCAGTACCTTCATTGTGGTATGTCAGTGCCTCTCAGGGAGTGATTTTTTTCAGTAAGTTTTGCAAGTGTTACTGGTACCTGAGTCAAGCAATAGAATTCCTGTATAGAAATGTGAACTGCTCCATGCCACGTGCCTGGCCTGAGCTGACCTCCCTCTGCAGATAGCTTTTACACTGACTCTTGAATTTCATTACCTTTTAATTGTGAAATATCGCCATATAGGGAAAACCTAATACAGTTCACTGATTGTCCAGTTGGCTACAGGTATTTGATTTATCATTCACTGGCAGGTACACTTCTAACCTCTGACTTGTCTGTTCATGTTCTTAGGCCCATCAAACAGTGAAGGAGCTAGCAAAGTCAGCCTCTTGAAGAAAGTACCAGCACTAAAGGACGGAGACTTCACCCTAGCAGAATGGTAAGAACTCAGTCCTTAGACTTCCTTGGGTACCAGTAATCTGTGCAGCATTTAGGAGATGTCATTCCTGCTAAATGATTAAGGATCACAGAATTTATGAACGTGTTGGTTATTTTTAATAGTATAACCTCATTTTCTCTGTCTCCATTTTCTGTTTGAATTATCTTTCAGAATATAAACAAATCAGCTGACTTAACTTCTTGATCTTACCCTGAATGCACTTACCTCAAAATGGGATTGTAAACATTTCTGGGAAATGTTTAAAGCTTATAAAAATCCTTTTTATGCTAGGAAAAAATTCTGTTTATCTGAATTAGTCATAAAGGCCAAGCAAACACCTACTTGATAAAATTTAGGGTTTACATTATAAGATTAATATGGAGACTGGTTAATGGTGTCATAATACTGACATCATTGAACTATAGTAGTATCAGCATAGTAGGAGGGTCTGCATTTTCTTCTGTTTTGTCTGCACAGGATTTTCTGTGGCATCTCTTTTTGTATTAACAGCCTACATATTGTTCCACATGACTAAGATATTTTTCCATCTGACTTCTCCTGCCAATTAGTGAAAGTATAAACATCTGGACAAACGCAAAAAGATTCTGTAGGCTCTCCTTCTTGGGACTTCCACTGACTTCAGTGGAAGCTGCAGGCTAGAGGCAGATCTGATGAAAAGGCAACATAACCCATTAGGGAGTTTCATTTAGTACACAGGCACATAAACATACGCAGGTCTCGCAGACATGGGTCAGAACAGTCGAGGAACAAGTGAGGTTAACATTACTGATAGATGATTATGGAGGTTTATTTTTTGTTTACCCCCGGTACTGTCCAGCAGTACTCTGCACTACAGAACAGTGCTGTGATTTTCCAGCAGGTTAAAGTTTTCACGGGAGTAAGGTGATTAAGTGCCATCTCTGATGTCAACATGAATTAGATGCCTCTATATGGTCCGTAGACTCCATTGGAAATCCTGATTGGAATGCTTTTTAGTGGAAGCAGCAAGTTCAGAAGGGGCAGGAGAGAGAGAGCTTAGGCAAAAGCATTCTGCATCATGACTCCCTGACCACTTTCTTCTCTCTTGTTAATGTCTGAGCAGCACTGCCATTCTGCTGTATCTGAGTCGAAAGTACAAAACTCCCGACCACTGGTACCCAGCAGACATACAAAAACGGGCCCAGGTAGATGAATACCTCTCATGGCATCATGCTAACATCCGGGCTAATGCTCCTAAGACCATGTGGATCAAGGTAAGGAGACTCAATATTAAAATGCAAATAAAGTGATGTTTTCCTGGCAGAATACTAAGCATTTGAACAGCCCCAGTTCAGAAAGAGTTTGTCATGCTGAAATAACAAACCTAGGCCATTCCTAGCTGAGAGGAGCTGTCAGAGAGGGAGCTGTTCCTAATTGCTCAATGTCAGGATCTGGCAAAAGCAGCTTTGGTCATTTTGGTTTTTTCCTTAAAGTAGGTCTCGTACAGAAGGTCTCAAAGCCCAACAGACTTCCATTGCCTGGATTTGTGAACAAATATATAACAGATTGGATATTGCCTCCAAGGGCCTCCCCCTCACTGCACAGCTGTGCAGAGTGTGCACATAGGCAGAAGTTTTGCTTCTTTGGCGAGCATGTGCTTCATTGCTGGAAAGGCTTGTGTTCTTCATACAGCAAGTCCCTGTGGCCTCATCAGGGTGGAAATCCAGAAGGAGCCTTCTGCTTCCAGCACACTTAGGTACTTCTCTGAAATGGGCTCAGGGATAGACAGAATAGAGACAGAGAGAGAATGGCAGAATTTCTTTATTGAGTGTGGTCAGATCAATTTACATTTAGGCAAAATTACCAGAATCACCCTGCAACAGAAAATCATTTAGTATCAGATGATTTTGCTGGACCCCTATTTCAAGCTAACTCACCAGACCGTTAATGCAACTATTCTTGGAGAGACCCAGGTGCAAATACAGTCCTGCAAGTACAGCTGTGGTGTGGAATTTCAGATGAAATCAGGGTTGCCAGTAAGCAGGTAAGAACTTCACTCTTCCTGTGTAAAGTTTGTCCTTGTTTGTGCCTAACAAAGCATATCAGGACTCATTTAGCTTTTTTGATTTATTGACATTTGAATTCTTGGCTAGAGGGCACAGAGAAGCAATTCAAATATGAGTCAGATTCATACAAGAAGCAGTTTCTTCCAGTTTCTGCAGGCTGTTATTGCAGTGCTCCAAGGGAAAGAAATCCAACTCATTGCTGCTGCTGCTTAGATAACCCAGATACAGAAAAGGTCCTCAGAATAATTGAGAATAGGGAAGCATATAAAGCCACTATGTAACAGAAGGCATATTAGCTAGACATGGGAGAAGGTAGACTACCTTGAGATACAGAAAAGGATGAAGATGCTGTTTCAAGTGATTATACCTGGCAACCCCATCATGCATAATTGGAACCACTTAGGAAGAGAACTGGCCATGAATTTTCTGATTTAATAGATTCCACATGTATTTGGCAAAAATCCTGGCTTGGATTAAGCAATCCCAATTTGAATTGTTGAATATGCTAGCAGTAAGTAGAAATCCAGTCCGTTCCCACTGACGGAAATTTATATCTTTAATTTTGCTTCTCTAAATAAACTGTATTTCTTTAGCTGTGGTAGGTGGAGGCAGCGTAATTGTGAAGCACTGCGGGCTCTGACAGTGCATACGCCTCTGTGAATGGTGACAAGTCTCACAGAAAGGCAACTACCTCCTGTGCCCGCAAGTCTGTGGAGACAAGGACTGTGCTTATATGATTGTTCTGGAAAAAAATTCTAGTGATTTAAAAAATGATGCTTGGGAGGCCACAGAAAGGCTGGTGTAAAAATGGTACTTGCCCACTTCCAGCCTCACTGGCTACTGTCATGCATTTCCTGCCTCTCCAGCCAGTGTTGATGCATTCCAGTCCCTCCTACGCTCCCTGCCACAGCCACCACTGTGTCCTCCTTTCCATCACACTGCAGGACAGGCAGCTGCCTGCCTGTCTGCTTGCCTCCAGCACCCAGTTACACAACAGGGTGGATAGCACGGGTGGCTGGTGGGCAGGCTGTTGAAACCGGAGGACATAGCAGGGGTGACTGTGGCAGACGTTTGTCTTCCCTGGAGCTGTTGCCCGTTTTTCTTTTGTAACCCACCAAGGTGGAGCGGGAGGGCACAACTGCCAGGCACAAAACAAGATGAATCCTTGATTGCGTTCTCCATGTTGCTGCCCCTTAGCCGGAGGTTACTGTCAGGGCAGATCAGCCACTTAGGACTGCTTCTGTGCTCTCTGTCCATGAGCTACTTGGAACTGTAGCAGCCTGTGAAGCTCTAGCATCATCCCCTCCTGCAGCTTTGCTGCAGGATCACTGATGATCATAAGTAGTTCATGGGGTGTAATGTAAACGACTCCCACCAGATCCATGAGAAGATGGATGACTGTACTCTTAAGTCTCTTCTCTCCTCAGGTGCTGATTCCCCTCTTCACAGGGCAGCCGCTGCCCTCTGAGAAGCTCCAGGAGGTTATGGAGGGGCTGTCCACTTCCCTGAAGCAATTTGAGGAGAGGTTTCTGCAGGACAAGGCTTTTATCATCGGGAGCGAGATCTCTCTGGCAGACCTTGTGGCCATTGTGGAGCTGATGCAAGTGAGTGCTGGAGGGTGGTAAGGAAGTCTCAGCACAAGGGAAAACAGATGCTCCTGGGCAGGGAGGGGTGCAGCATGTGGTAACACTTCACTAGAAAGAGGAATGAGGGCATATCTCAACAGAACTAGCCTAAGACAATGAGGAGAATATGGGAGTGGGTTCAGAAAACCAGTTAAAAAAATTAAAAAGCTGGCAGCAACAGATCCCTTTTGTTTCTTTTCTCTAACAATACTTCTCCTTCATCCTTTATTGGGACTTTATTTTTAACCTCCAGAGAAGGAGGTAATATATAAAAGTGAGAAGCAATAGCAGACAGGTCTGATGAAATAAGAAAAGGATATAGGAATATTTTTATCATACAAGAATATTCTTCTTCACATGGTACTTGCCCAAGTCATGTCTGGAAGATGCAAGACTGAATCTCAGATGGAGGCAATGAAATTAAGTCCGCTACAAACTGGTTGTTCTCTGCCAGACCATCAGGGCCTGGATCCTGCAGCCCAGAAGTGATTCTTTCTCCCAGTTCTATATCCCAGAGACTGAAAAATAGCAGTTCTGCTTCTCTACAGCAGTGTGTTCCAGAGAGTGGCACAGGCAGAAAGTAGAAGGGGGATAGATTATGTCAATTAAGACATCAGTTCAATTAAACGCTTAGCATTTTGTGTTGTGGTTTTGCTATATAATATAGCACTCCATACTGTGGACTGTACAGTTGTCCCTAGAACTGTCAGTCCTCCATGTCTTCAATGCTGTAGCTGAAAATCACTCCCAGGAAGCCGTAGTCATCTCTGCTGCTCCTAACAGCTGTTCTGGCACTCAGGAATTGACTTGTAAGTGCCCTTTAAATATAGGCTAGCTTCTGTGTACCCCAGATAGATACACCCGACCAGAGGATTTTTTCCTCCTTCCTAGTGCTCCTTTATGAGCTCTTCTTCATTTTTTTTTTCCTCTACCTGTACCTGCAGGTAGACTTTTGGTGCCTGTTGTCTTGGTGAAGAAGTGACTGCCCAATGCCTCACTTGTTGCTCTCTCCCCCTTTCTGCAGCCTGTTGGAGTTGGTTGTGACATCTTTGAAGACAGACCTAGGCTGATGGAGTGGCGCAGGCGGGTGGAGGATGCTGTGGGGAAGGAGCTTTTCTTCCAAGCCCATGAGATGATCCTCAATATCAAAGAACTGACCAACATTCAAATTGATCCACAGCTGAAAGAGCATCTGGCACCTATGTTGATGAAGATGTTGAAATGAATTAACCTATCTTACATTTTTCCTGCCCTTTTTTTTTAATTTCTTCTCTGACCTCCAGTTCTACATGTAACTGGAAAGAGCACTGTAATTCTAACACAGAAATTGCAAAATTGCAGGGTGTTTCCCCCCCGCCAGGCCTTTCCTGTATCTTTGGGGGTGGTAGCTGGGGAAGGTTTAAGACCTGAAACATTAATTTTATACAGAAGGCTGAGGCCCTACAGGTCACTTAACATGTGCATCTGGGTTTTATTTCAGCGTCAGTCTTCTCAGAGATGGTAGAGACACGAATGGTATTTCCTGGCAAAATTGGAGCCAGCCTACAAACTGGGAACATTAAGAGAACTGTATAGGATGAGGATCATTGTTTTCATGTGTTTTTAACATTTGCAGCTCCTTCTCAAGTGACAAGCACTGCAAAATGTGCCTGATCCTCATTTTCCCAGCACATGTCTGCATAGACAAGTACAGCACAAAACTACAGGCAGTCTCAAAAGTGAAAAAAAGACACTGAATTTTTATTTTTTCTTTTAAATTTCTTATTGCTGAGGTATCTTGCTGTCCATGTACATTCCACACTTCTATTTGCCTTTAGGTTCCTGTGAAAAGTTTCTTCATATTCATCTACAACTGTGAATCTTTGTTAATTCTTCAGTCTAACCACTACTCTCAATTTCTGAAAGCCTGGGTTTTGTTGGTGCTCGGTCTGCCAGTACACATGTGGCAGGGGCTGTTCTTGGAGATTTGTGCGGTAAAGACTAAGCAACTTCAAAAAGCTGAGGGTGGCCACAGCCTTCGAATAACTGCCTACCTACTCTGTTGATGTTATATAGGGAATACACTGAAAGAATGCATTCACAGTGATTTCTTGAAAGAGAATATAACAGCAATAAATTTTTTTTTTTCTGCGATAATACTGTAATAGCAATCCACATTTCTTCTAGAAAATGCAGAGGGGGAATAAATCTAGATGTGCTTTTCTGAGACTGTTTTGGATGGAAGTTCACCAAGTAAGTCACCCTGTGCAGCTGAAGTAATAAGAGAGATTTTGTGCATTGAGCAACATTTGCATCACAATAAAAGGGCAGAGAGTTGTTTTGGAGCTCTTGGGCTCTTCCTTGGCTGTGTTTATTTCTGGTTAGCTGTAGCTCAAATACAAACCCCTTCTGTACTGCAGCACAATTTATGAGGTAAAACTGAGAGAATCCAACCATTTCTAGTTTCTTCAGTTGAAAATCACAAATTGTAAAGGATGCAGAAACTGGTGGGTTATATATCTGTGCATATTTCCATTCATAAATAGTTGTTGCCCTTGAACCTTACCCTGAAATCCTTGCCCAAGAACTCTTCCTGGAAAGAATAAGACAAAATGAGTAAATAATTCAGGAATAGCTTCTCTCGCTAATCAAATAGCTTCTTTTCTTTCCAGTACTACCATGTCTTGGCTGTGATGTTTCTGCTGTTAAGTTCTCTAAAACCAGATGTGTTCTGGTGATGTTTTTCACTAAGGTTTCAGTTCTAGGTACTACTGATTTAGTCCAGAGCCTAGGGAGATCTTTAAATTCCCTGTTTGGAAAGAGGACTCTATTATATACTTCAGCTTGCATTAGCAGGAAAACTTGTTTTGTAATTATGTTCTCTACAAAGACAAGAGACCTAACTGAAAGCCCTCTCTTTTCATGAACCAAAAATATTACAAACAGGCACATGTTCATTCCCACCCTTCTTTTCTTCCTAAACATTAGCCAAATAGTATGTTTTTACTGATGTTTTATTTACAAAATATTGTCTACAACTGAGTTAAATTTTAAGTGGGAAGTCGTTGATTCTTTTGATAATTTTGAGAGTGGAATTGCTAAGTGGGTGATGACACATGCAAATGTCTGCAGGAGGGAAAAAAGCCACCATGATTTTCCAAAGGCTGAGCATGTTTGAGAGCACTTGCTGCTGTGCTGTCTTCTCTTGGTTGTATGTTCATCCCCCTACAAGCATTTTAATCACCCTCTCCAAGACAGAAACAATAAAACAAATGTCTTTAGTTTAAAAACTCTGGGAGGTCATGAACAATCTGCCATTCACATGGTGAACGATCACAAGCGAAGGACAACGCATATCATTAAAGATGTTCGTGACAGCCCCGTGTCCTGTTGTAATTGCTGACATCTGATACTTGAATCTTCTCTTTTCCTTTTGGAGGCTGCCTGATATGCTGGCTTCTTGTCATGTGGGGGTTTTGGCCTTGGAAGATATTTTTAGTATTTGAAGGAATGAAAGAGAAATAGAAAAATGGAGCCTAAATGGCATCTTACTTGGAGGCAATGACTCTCAGCAATCAGGCAGTGGTGGGCTTGCACCCGGGGTTTGCAAGGTGGCTGAACACCCCCACTGCCTTCATTTCGGTGACAAACTCAGGATCATCTGTTCTCTTTATAAGATGATATCTTTCTGTAAATTAACCCTAGAATCTAACAGTTTTCCTGGGTTATTTCTTCTGCTGCTTTCCTGGATTTGAAGGGAGCATCTGTATTACTGCTTACCACTGCAAGCAGCCACCCCCCGCCAGCCTGCCGTGCCCTGTCCCCTCTCTGGTTGGGTCTCTGTCTTCACAAGCTCTCTCCTAGAAATCTTTTTTCCAGCCTTATTGCTGGCTGGTTTATACACACTGCTCCTCGTGTCAGTATTGTCATTAGCAGAAGTGAAGGCCAAGCAATGACCCCATCAAAAAAATGAGCAATTCCATCAGTTTTCATTAGGATTGCCTAGAACTGTAGAAAACCAAAATGTCACATTATACAGGGCCAATTTTCACAACAGTGCTGTGTCTTAAATGAGATGACCTTTTAATCTAGCGGGCTCATAACCTTTGCTGTAAATGAGCACGTGTAACCTTCAGTGGACAGTAGTTCAGCTTCTGAGAAACCTCTGGTCTGTAGATCAGACTGTCCCTGCGAGCCAGCCTGCTGGGGTCACTTTTATCAACTTCGGAGCTCAAAGTCCTGATTGCAGAGGCTAGTTTGGTAATTATATATACTGGATAAAACAATAAACCTCTCTGCTTGCCTTTTAATTTCTTGTAGTGCTGGTTGGTCCGAGAGATCACTGCTCTTCCATTCTTAACCCTCCCTGCACAGACAGGCGCGGAAGCGTCCGTCGCGGTGACCAGAAATGACTTCCCACCGGCAGTAAGGACCATCGCAAAGCTCGTCTCACCCTTCCGTTCAGTGAGATGACATATTTTGCCCTCACAGTCTCCTACATATATCCCACCAACGCACACTGTAAAAAGCCAAAGGCCCGAAAGCCAGCTCCTGCAAATCGGGGTAAAACAGAGGAAAGCCAAAGGCCAAAGCCCCCCCCGGGGCCGGTGCGAGGCGAGCGGCGGGTGGAAGGTCGAGATGCTCGCCGCGTTCCTGCCGGCGGTCCCGGGAGCCGCGGGGATGGCGCAAGGCCCCCGCTGCCGGTTCCCGTTCCC